CGGTCCTCTTGTTCAATACTTTCTTTTGATGAATTTAAAAGCAAAGAAAACGCCAAGAAAATTCACCATATCGATATTGAAAACGTTTCGGAGTCCAGCTCCATCATCAGTTCGACTAAACTAAAAATGAATAAAATCACTTTAAAAGTCAAAATTCAAAGACAGACATAAAACCTAAACAAGACCTAACATTATATCGAAATAAACAGGACTAGTTATGAACAACTTAGTCCTAGGGGTACGACAAGAATATAAAATCCTAGCGATTTACTATTTCCAGATTATATGAGCTAAACGCATTATTGAGACATGGATTGATTGATGCATTGATTTTAAGCAGACTGATGATATAAGTTCTTTTGATGAGTCATATGGGCAGCTAGCTCAGGCCTTTAACTGCCACTGGCATGCCTACTGGCAGGCCCAGATTGTTGCTACTGGTTGTGGCCAATTCAGATACAACATTGATGGATGCATCACTTATATAGATTATAGCTCCCTGACTAGACCTCTGCAGTGTGCAGTAGCCTGCCTTTGTGTGGGCCATGCAGGCATGGGTGCCCACCGTGCCTGGTTTGGAATGGCAGCAACGGGGGTCTGGCCAGAATGTCAAGTAGATGACACCATAGCTCACTTCTTATTACACTGTGCTAGATTCAGCGGACCAAGAGCAATATTTAGAAGTGCAGTGAATGCACAGGGACTTATTTGGGGGCTGCAGACAGCTCTGGGTGGGGGAGTCACCAGCAAACAGCATCACCAAATCTTTTCATGCTTGCAACAATATTCGCTGGAAAGTGGAGCTGCCTCTCCAAGGTGCTTTTTCCTTCAAATCAGAGAACTTGAAATTTAAGTTTTTTTTATTATTAATTTTTTTTTTCTTGTTTTGTTTTTTTGGCATGTTTGTGCAATTTAGCATGCTGTTAGGGTGCTTTATTGCAGCATAAAGCTTGACTCATTGTGTATGTTATTATAAGGCATGCCGCATATATCACTTGCATATTCAAAACCTTGCTACGTGACTAAATGTCTGGATGCTGGGTGCATGCTGCACATAAGGTACTTGGGGCATTGAGCCCCTTTGCACTGTGCATAGTCTTTCATCAAATGAGTAACAGAGACCAGGCTGGGCAGTGCACAAGCCCTGGAAGCCTCCAAAACCAACTATAAAAAAAATTGCTTCTGCATCTAGGAACTTGTAGGAACGTCTGATGAGTCTGAAAAGTTTTTTGGATGTATTTGCTTGCATTTCAACATGCTTTGAAAATTTCAGCTTATCATCTACATAAACTCCGAGATCTTTTTCCATTAATGTATTAATTCAACCATGAGCAGTGAAGTTGGGTATATACTACTACTTAGTGGGTGTGCAAGTCACCAGTTTCAGTTTGGATTCTTGGATTGTGATGATGTCAATGTCATGTGGTTAGTTTGAGGTCTTCTATTTTGCTTGTGAGTCCATTAGTAATTTAGTATTTATCTGCATTATTTTGATGACTGAGGGTGTTTTTCTGGGTCTAATTGGGGTTGGGGGCATTTGTATGAGACTGTTGGGTGGAGTGGCTAGTGGGGGCAACTGGCAAAAGAGGTTGGGGTGCAGTGACTGGGTTTAGAATGAATTGCAAAGCTGATGGCAGTATTGTATTTGGCCTGAGAGGGATTGGTAGAGTGTTTTGATGACAGGTCCAGGAATTTGTGTATTGATGGAGTTGTACGTTTGTGCAGTTTTTATGGACCCAATGTGGGATGAGACTTAAGAGAAAAGAGTACCTATTGGCGTTTTGTGATTTGTATATTGCATATGTCACACATCCAAGTCAGACCTGGGTTCTCCTCAACATCCTCCGCTAGTAGCAACAGAGACGCTGACAGAATACCTAGCGAAAATAAAAAAAAAATTGAAAAAATAAATCATGATTTTATATAAAAAAAATCAAGTGATTTGAATTTAATCACATGATTTAATCATTGCCAACCCTGCTGTGGCCTGTGATGGCTGTGAACCTGTGAGGCCACATTAAATGAATCTGTTAAATGCACGAGCATAAAATTCTGGATGTACAGCACCTAGTAGCCTACATCCAATGATCCAAGTACAGCACTTTTTCATCTTTGAAACACTCATTTTTGGAGTTTAAAGCACACTCGGCAAACTGCCTTAGCACAAGGGGATGATGGGAAAGGGGAAGAATCTCTTTTGTTGGCTTCCATTTGTGCTTGAGGCAAGCACTAGGGCACACTAGAGTGGTCTTGGTCAAGGCATCATTAGGTGATTTAAAGTGCTTGGCAATGCATTGTGGAATTTTGAATAGGTAATATATTCTTTTGTTAGTATAAGAAAATGGATCAGAAATTCAGAAGTCCTACTACATTTACTGTCCCACCACTATGCCTAGGACTAGTAGTACCTACATTGAGCTCATTAGAAGCTGCCACTTTTCTGACATTGGACAAATTAATGTCTGCATGTTGTTCTCTGTTATGCTTTCTAGTGCTTTTTCTCATTTATGGAAAGAATGCCCCATTGTGCTTGTCATGTCTGTCTGTCTGTCCGTGACTCCTCTTTTTCGTTGACAAGAAAATTTGCGCTGTCACTCACTGCAGTGAGTACAGAGTTATATTTTTTTTGATGATCTCACTAGTTGCTAGTTGCTTATCCTCAACTGAACAATTTCTAGGTAAATATATTCTAAAATAAAAAATTATGTCACCTATTGCTGAAAAGTCTCATAATTTCAATATATTAACATTTTTGGTACCAGACAAAATTATGAGAAAATATCTGATCACTTTATGGCATGTGGCACATCATTAAGCACTGTGAACAACTGGAGATGTCACACTCCCTGTTTGGGCAATGTTAAATTTAATTTCACAAGAAATAGATTTGATCCACAATGAGATTTCATTAAATGATGAAAAGTTGTTTCTTAGTTTAACCACCTTATTTTACTTGTCATCATGCATGGAATATATCTACTTGGCAAGCTGCGACTAGATTTTTCAAGCTGTGGCTTCATGGGTTTGAATCCCCCACCACCCATCCCACCCATGTATCTTTTCATTTCTTTGAGCCGTGGCTTCATGGGTCTGCCAGCCGTGATTCCATTTCTTTGAGCCGTGAATTCCATATCTTGGCCATGAAAAGCCATTTATGACCCACGAACTTTTTATTTACAAAGTCCCATCACTCCCATGCATACAAAGACCCATGTTATTTACAAAGTTCCTTACAAAAGACAGTCACTAGCATTTGTCTTCACTTAAGCAGCGACTGTACAAGTGATAATGCAGTATGAACACTCTGACGTAACTGCAACTACGCAATCTTCATATAGAAAATGTTTTGAGTTGACTTGTTATTATGTTCTGCATGTTATTTTGGCAGGAGGCGGGAGCATTGAAGTATATATACTGTGGATTGCAACAGTTGAAAATTTTATTAAACGACATGTTTGCAAAGTGCAAACCGCAATTTTTTCAATCAACAAAAATTTATGACATTGGAGCCATGAAATTTCATACCTACTGAAATTATATGATATTAGAGCCATGATATTTCAGAAAAAAATAGGACTTTTCCAGCCCTGCTTGTCATCACGCAAATTTTTTTTGTCAAATTGTCTTCCTAACTTCACTTTAGATATCACTGAAAATGGAACATGGCTCAGGAATGTCCAATTATACCTATGTTAATTAGCTTGATCTGAATGTATTTGTTACCACTATTTGAAACAATCATTTTAGTTAATTATGACTTCAAACAAAGAATTTGCTAGATGAAGCATCTTGAATCGGCTCTTCTCACTTGGTTATCAATTATTTCAAGCAATATTCATGATTAAATTTACAAGTAATTTTTTTAGTATAACACACTTGGCAACAGCATACTGTCAAACGGGGTAATCAGGGACAGGCAGGAGGTAATGGTAAATCAGGATGCTCGTAAAAAACAGGGTAAATTGGGATGCTTGTCCCACATTTTGTGGAAATGTAGAAGCTAAACTAATCAAAATATTGCACAACTAAAAATTGTGGCATAAACTTCAAAATTTTTAGTATCTATTATGTATAAAGCTAGTTAAGAAATCGTACATTTACTATCTCTACAAAATTGCTGAAAAAAATTAAAGTTCAATTTTGGAAAAGTACCTCTACTAAGGTCTGAAGCAAAGAAAATATTTGCCATATTAAAAAATTTTGCCTAAATAAAAGTTGCACACAGGTGTTGGCTTGAAAACACAATTGATGGAATTTGCCCCCCCCCCCATCTCCTTTCCCCCAAAAATTGGCAGCCATTTCCGCGTGATGGGGTAATAAGAGACACCCCTCAGGGTAATAAGGGACACCCCTAAAAACGCATTTACAATTTAACCTCAGTTAGCAAAGGCTCCAGTTGTATTCATAGACACTACCTTGTGCTTTAACAATACATCCATATCCATATAACTACTTTCATTCACCTAAACTGTTGCCAGAGACTGAATAGGTATACCATGCTTAACCATCCCATTGTGCTGGCAACATTGTCCCTATTGCTCAGTGCTGTCTCAAATCTGTTTAGGATACTGTATTACTTTAGTGTCTTACACTTTAAGGGTTGGATGCTTATACAAAGCTGCCAGCCTGAGTGCAGCCATCCTCTCTAGTCCATCAGCATATTTTTGTAGCCTCTTTCACCATAACCCTCATGTCCCCCAGAGTTTCCTCACTGTTACAGTCCTAAGAAATAACAACATTCAGCATCATTACTTTCTGTACAAAATTGGTCTAAGGAAGCTCCAGGCTGTGCTGAGCCTTTGGTGACTTACTGTATACAAACTTGTATGAGGTGCACAGTGTTGGTCATGCCAGTAGTGACTATACATAGATTAAATACAAGTTTTATATTACTGGTATTTTTCTTTACTGTATAACACATTTCCTCTAATAAACATATTATTCATGAAGTGATTCTGCTGTATCTTTTTAGTTTTTACAGTGGCCTATCTGCCTACAGCTGTGCAGCAACTATATCACACCATCTTGTCATGGGAGCGCATTAATGCAGTACTTAGAGCTCCCATGAATCTTAGATTTAACAAAGCAAAAACATGAAGTTGCTTTGGTGTTCATATATGATTTCTGTAATTGATCATATAAATGACTAGTTTTAATTCAGATTAAGTATAATTTCATTGTATTCAAATCTATTATGACTGACTCATATAATTCAAAACCAAAATGCTACTATGAATGTTCAGGAAGTACTGAGAGTGGTGTGGTTTTCAAGGAAGGCCACACTCCATCAATTCTCCACTCATTGCCTTGGCTGCTTGGTGAGTGCCTTTACAGTAAATTGTCATATACATTTTATATTGTTTAAATTTATCAAAAAATATTTATACCATCTTCTTTTGTTTTGAATCTGGATCACCTATGCTGTAGCCAAACTCAAAAAATGTTCATGAGCTAGTTAACCAGCTGTAAAAATGTCCAGTGCCAATTCTTTCATTTGGGTCAGCCCTTGTATGTGCAACCCATGCCTGATTTTTAAATGTTCAGATGAATTTGAAGCCATTTTTAACTTAAATTTTTGTAAAATATTGGACTTGAATTTCAGGAAATGACTCAAAATCTAAATGTTTACTTCTTGTTTTTTGAAAGTATTTTAGTCTGGATTCATAGTTAAGAAAGTGTCATGCATTCCAAAATAATATAAAATTAACTTGATTGTGATCAAAGAGCCTAATTTACTCAAGTAAATTCATGGAATTTTTTTTAAGTATATATAGAGGTAGACATGGGTTTTTAGAAATTATCAGAGAAAATTATCACTGTATTTACTAGTGTTGTTTTGGAAATTATGGATGAAAATATATCATTATGTTGTAAATGTTATGTTAATGTTGCTTTTACAATGTAAATTAGCAAAGTACCATACCAGAGGTTAAGCCACTAGGGCATAGTTATCCATGGGCATGGTCAGATTTGGCTTCTCCAAGAGATATATATTAGTATTAGATGGCAGAATTTTCTTGTTTATATGCATGCAATTGCTGACCAGAGAATACATTACAATTTTCAAGTAGTTGAACAACTCCTTAGATGACGTTGGTAGAGCAAAAGGTGAGTTTAGCTTGTAATAGTAATAATATATGAACAATGCTCTGAACATAACATTCATTTTCAAGTTAAAGAGGCATTGAATAATGAAATTTTGTTTGACACAAGTACATAATACACCTAAATAGGATACAGCCCTGAATTTAAAGCCAGAAAGTCCCTCTGCAAATAATCTCAAAATTTAGATAAATTTGGTGGTTTGGAAATAGAGAGCTAGAGTTAAGTCCTAAATTTTGAGGGTTCCAGCAATTGTTGGCTGGTTAATGTTGTGCACCTCTGCATTTTCTTGTAGAGGTGCACAGCCAATGTGCCTATTAAGCAGTAAATTAATTCTTTTCTGCAACAATTGTTTGACTCCATGAAAATTGTAATGCATTCTCTGGTTATTAATTGGATGCATCTGTTGTGCATTAATTGGATGCATTTGTCCTGCCAAAATCGCATAATTGCCAATTCTATGGAATTGGCAGCCAGTTTGCTGAATCTGTTGAATTGGCATTTCATTGCTGATTCAGAAAATCGGATGTATGTGTTAGAACACAAATTGACAGAGTTAGAAAAGGTTAGGTAAAGTTTGGTCCAGTTCTTTTATATTCAAATGTTTAATAGAAAAAAAGAACTTGGCTGACTGACTAAACCCCAGATTCATATATTATAGAAGTACTGATTTAACAGATTTGGCAAACTGGCTGCTGATTCCATAAAATTGGCAATATAGGTACCTATGCATATACATATCTGCTGCAATATGTATACTACTATCCTAATATGAATCTCTATAGTACTGCTTACATGAGTAATAATCAAAAAGGGCATTATTCTATGCTTAATAAATACAAACAAATAGTTTAAAACTTTTCTATGGTAACAAAATGTTTATATATTGGTTCTATTTAGAGTATTATTTCCTTTTCTTTGTAGCTTGGTGACTTTATTGAGGTGGCAACTTTAGTGGCATTAATGGTAGTTCAATGCCACTCGAGTAGTGTAAGGTTTTAATGTTCATGTGCATCAGCATTTTCTATGTTTCATATTATCATCATTGCCTTGCATCAAATCTTTGGGTCATTGTTAGGTACTCACTTGTAGTTATTATGTCACTCCCTACTATGATTGTAGCCTTTTATGGCATTTACCAGCATCACAGTGCCCATTTTTTACACATTTTGATATGATGTGATGGTTATGCACTGCACATTTTAAAAGTTCATATTGCTGTTTGATTTGGATTGAGCTCCTAGCATGTTTGATGTCAATAAATTGGTCAACTATGTTCGGTTCATACTCCTGTTCTATTAGTCATTGTCATATGCTACAACAAGTTTAATAATATTTTAGATGCGTAGAGACTAGTATATTGTTGTGTAGGAAAATATTTAAATTCTGTAGCAAGTTACTCATTCTTTATATAATTTTTACTTTTGAGGCATTTATATTGCTCCTTCCTCATTTTTTCTATCTTAAATTGTTACAGGCCAATTTGAATGAATCTGAATGTATTTGCTGCTGGAGTTTTAAAGCAACGGATCTCCCCGCAGGTTGGGTGTGGCTCTCTATTGTGGGCCCCGTGCTGGCAGTGAAGCTCTTTGCTAGTGTGGCACGGGCTCTATTTGTCAAGTATTTGTGGCGTGGCAAATCTCTCAATGGAAAAGTAAGTGCTAAGTAATGAGTGCATGCACACAAATATTAGGTACCTAGTATAATAATCTACCTACTGTATATATGAACTGTTTTAGCTTACTTGAATAATTCAAGTTATTGTAACCAGTTATTGAGTGGATTGTGGCATGCTACTAATCTTTATACGTGTTGCAGTAACTTTTATCCAACTATAACTAAAGGCTTTTTTTAGTACCAGACCTTCATGTTGTGAGGTTATTTTTACCTAGAACTATACCATACTGTTATACCATAACATAAGCTTGCTCAATTTAAACTGGAAGAATATATTCAGCAGTCAAAATCACTGAAATATTGTCAATTTTATCCTTCCTTGTAAATATGGACCAAATCTACATCCCAGGTATGAAGTACTAGCAACTTTGTATTTTAGTAAACTTAGCTAAGAAAAGCAGCAAGTTTAGCTGTAACAAGACTGCTCATCACTACTGGGCTATCTATTTAAGGGGAGCATCTGCCCCAAAATCGAAAATTTTGACTTTTTCAGTTTTTATATATTCATCTTGAAGCTCACATTCTGATGCATCTAACAGTACCAAAACCATCGTACTGTTATACTGCGCTGATTTATGCGTTCACGACAGATCGCGAAAGGGTTAGGGGTGGTGGAGTTCTTTGACATTTAAGATAGACCGAAATTACCGGTAGCACACTTAAGTAGCTAGTCTGAACACGCTGTGCTTCAGTTATCCGCCTGCAGTCGTACGGGATGGTTCTCGTGCCGTCGTTCAACCATCCTTGACAGAAATTGAGCTCCAGTATTGTCTAGTCTTGCAACCTTGTACCTTTGAATGTCTATTTCGAGGCACGCGCGACTTTGTTGGGCTCTACTGAAAAGTTGACTTATTGTCACTGCAAACCTATCTCCTAGAGTTTTGAAGCTACAACAATGAGAGAAACAATAAAAAATTTCTGAAAATTTTACAAAATGAATAAATACTGCATGTCTCAGTGAGGTCATATCAGAGGTGACTTAAAACTCTAAATGAAAAATTGCATTTATCCTAACTGTTAATAAAAGCATTTATTGCACCATGTTCCCTAGCAAAGCCACCTTGACAGACGGTGCAAACATTGTGAAATGCTCCCTCCAGCAGCAGCATTGTTCCATGAATCAGGTTGAGTGTCTCTTGCTGAACTTGGTCTTTCTTCTCAATGACCAGCTTAACATAACTCAGTCAGTCATGACTGCTGTGTAGTTTCATTAGTTCAGGTGACTGCACACAACAGATCAGCTGTTCAGGTGACTACACACAACAGATCAGCTGTTCAGGTGACTACACACAACAGATCCGCTGTTCTTCAGTCAAAAGATCAAGATATCTTCTGACAAAACCCATATGAATAACAATCTATGTTCTTACCTTTATCAGCAGATTTTATATCATTTCCCATAAATTCTCATTATACATGATGTTTATGCTGACTGTTAACCTCATTTTATTCTATTTGATGAAGGTTGTGCTCATTACCGGGGCCAGTTCTGGTGTTGGGGCAGCTGTGGCAAAACTGCTTTACTGTCAGGGCTGCCGTCTCATTCTTGCATCCAGATCTGTAGACAAGCTCCATGCTCTCAAACAAGAGCTCATTGCCTCGTGCCAGGTCTGTAGACAAGCTCCATGCTCTCAAACAAGAGCTCATTGCCTCGTGCCAGGTCTGTAGACAAGCTCCATGCTCTCAAACAAGAGCTCATTGCCTCGTGCCAGGTCTGTAGACAAGCTCCATGCATTTGGAAATTTTTTTATCAGCTTATTTATATTTTTTTTTCTTCCTATCGAAGTATTTTAAATGTATTTCTAATTGAAATGTTCATTTTGTAGACATCGTGGTCAGTCCATAGGTTGGACATCACAATGATATGAATAACATGTTTATATAAAATAACGTGTCCGATTACCTTATGATCTGTTGTGTCCAGACCCCTGTGGTGCATGAGCCCATAGTGATGCAGCTGGACATCACAGACCTGACTGTTGTCGATGACCCTATGATCTGTTGTGTCCAGACCCCTGTGGTGCACGAGCCCATAGTGATGCAGCTGGACATCACAGACCTGACTGCTGTCGATGACCTTATGGTCTGTTGTGTCCAGACCCCTGTGGTGCATGAGCCCATAGTGATGCAGCTGGACATCACAGACCTGACTGCTGTCGATGACCCTATGATCTGTTGTGTCCAGACCCCTGTGGTGCACGAGCCCATAGTGATGCAGCTGGACATCACAGACCTGACTGCAGTGTCGGGCGCTGTCGATGACCCTATGATCTGTTGTGTCCAGACCCCTGTGGTGCACGAGCCCATAGTGATGCAGCTGGACATCACAGACCTCACTGCAGTGCCCGACGCTGTGGAGGCTGTGGTGCAACGCGTGGGCGCCGTGGACGTCCTCATCAACAACGCCGGCCAGAGCTTCAGGGGCGCCGCCGCCCACACGCTCCTCGACGTCGACCTCAAGCTCATGCTGGTCAACTACTTCGGCCATGTTGCTCTCACTAAAGGTGGCTTATGGCTGTCTTGTGTCGTTCTTGTGTGTCTTATGTGTCTTATGGCTGTCTTAGGTGGCTTATGTCGGTCTTGTGTCGTTCTTGTGTGTCTTATGTGTCTTATGGCTGTCTTAGGTGGCTTATGTCGGTCTTGTGTCGTTCTTGTGTGTCTTATGTGTCTTATGGCTGTCTTAGGTGGCTTATGTCGGTCTTGTGTCGTTCTTGTGTGTCTTATGTGTCTTATGGCTGTCTTAGGTGGCTTATGTCGGTCTTGTGTCGGTCTTGTGTGTCTTATGTGTCTTATGGCTGTCTTAGGTGGCTTATGTCGGTCTTGTGTCGGTCTTGTTTGTCTTATGTGTCTTATGGCTGTCTTAGGTGGCTTATGTCGGTCTTGTGTCGGTCTTGTTTGTCTTATGTGTCTTATGGCTGTCTTATGTGTTTTATCTGTGTTAGGTGTCTTTTGTCTGTCTTGTTTCTGTCTTTTGTATGTCTTATGTGTCTTATGGCTGTCTTATGTGTCTCATGTCTGTCTTACCTGTGTGTCTTTTGTCTGTCTTGTGTTTGTCTTATGTGTATTTTGTCTCTCTTAGGTGTCTTATATCTGTCTTTTGTCTGTCTTATGTCTATCTTATCATCTTATGTGTCTTATGTCTGTCTTATGTCTGTCTTAGGTGTCTTATGGCTGTCTTACCTGTGTTTCTTTTGTCTGTCTTAGGTGTCTTATGTCTATCTTATGTGTATTATGTCTGTCTTGTTTCTCTAAACATTTCTATCGTCAACTCGGGACTGTTGTGTTGTACAAGTTGCTGTTGCCACATCTTGTGTCATTTATGGCTCCCAATTCTTTTAACATATTTGTGCCTTCACGTCTATAGCTTTCTTTTGTCCACTATCAAATGTTGTCTGCAACTAAAAATAAATATATTGCACCATTATGTATTAATTTATTCAACGTAAACAAATTCAAATGCTCATCTAACCAAGCCATATTGATTAATAAAGTCAAACATGTCTAGAAATTTTGAACGCTGTGCCACATATGAACAAGTTATGTTGTTTGGCTGTTTTGTTCCTTGCAAGTCTTGTCAGTTACTATTCAATACATTTTGATTGAGTTTTACAATAATGTACAAAACTCTTTATATATCATGAATTAGTGCAATGGACACCATATTTCATAAATTAGTGCAATGGATTTAAGGCCCAAAGTTTTTCTCCCCTCCGAATATTTGTTTTAAGTTCACTTGTTACAGGCGAATTAAGTAATGGTGCTTGTGCTTCAAATATTTCCATATATACGTGACTTGTTGGGTGACTATTTCTATATTATTCTATTATAATATACTATAATAAAATATATTAATATATTTCTATATATATATATTAATACGTGCCAACTTCTTAGCATTTGTATTATTCTCTAGAAATAGTTTTATGTATTGTAGGAGTTTGCTTGTAGTAAGTATAATTGAATGAAATTGAGCTCTTGTGGATTATATATACAAATCAATGTTCATGTCAATATTATTAACAACCACAAACGTCGCATTAGTTGCCACAGCACTAAACTCACTTCCTTCAATAATAAAAAAGTAATGCCAATAAACACATGAATAAATTCTGTTAAACTTGAAGTTATACTTGAAAGTTGTTCATTTCTTTCAAAGTTATGAGAGGTTCTCGTTCAACTGCATTTATAACATGCATTTTATGATGAGGCAGCACATCATACATAGACTGGATGGTGAGCAGTGAGCACCACAACGTGAGCAGTGAGCACCACAACAATAGATAAATAATTTTGATATACCGGACAACAGTTGCTGAGCAGCATATATATATGCGAGATATCATTCAATAGATAAATAATTTTGATATACCGGACAATAGTTGCTGTTGTTTGTTGCAGCAGTATATATATATATATATATGCAAGATATCATCAATAGATAAATAATTTTGAAATATCGGGCAACAGTTGTTGATGTTTGTTGCAGCGGTATATATATGCAAGATATCATTCAATAGATAAATAATTTTGTTATACCGGGCAACAGTTGTTGATGTTTGTTGCAGCGGTATATATATGCAAGATATCATTCAATAGATAAATAATTTTGTTATACCGGGCAACAGTTGTTGATGTTTGTTGCAGCGGTATATATGCAAGATATCATTCAATAGATAAATAATTTTGATAATACCGGGCAGGAGTTGCTGATGTTGGTGTTTGTTGCATATATATATGCAAGATATCATCAATAGATAAATAATTTTGATATACCGGACAATAGTTGCTGTTGTTTGTTGCAGCGGTATATATATATATATATGCAAGATATCATTCAATAGATAAATAATTTTGATATACCGGACAACAGTTGCTGAGCAGCATATATATATGCAAGATATCATTCAATAGNCAATTATTGCTGGCATTGTGCACAATTATTGCTGGCATTGTGCACAATTATTGCTGGCATTGTGCACAATTATTGCTGGCATTGTGCACAATTACTTATTTGCTATATTTGCAAATTGATAATATATTTATTTAAATAAGCAATTTGCCAATTTGCTAATATTGCTATTTATATATAGATAATATTGCTATATTTGCAAATTGATAATAGCCAAATTGCTTAATGGGCTGAGAGAACATTGATCAGGCTTAGATCAGGCTAAATGCTTAATGATCAGGCTTAATGCTTAAGATCAGGCTTAGAAAACATTGAGTTAAGATATGATCAGTCTAAGATAGTCAGGCTGAGAAAACACTGGACTAATTTAAGATCAGGCTTAGAAAACATTGAGCTAAGATCTGATCGATCTAAGATAAACTCTTGTTCCTCTACAATTACTTGGTCTGTGAGACAATGACACAGTTTTCTGTGGAGATATCAATTTAATTGCCCAATTTTTAAATTGATGCAAGCCTTACTCGCAACTCAGCTTCTCTAGTTCCCTTGATTTAGTTGTTGAAGCAAAGCACCCTATAAATAATTCACTAATAATAATTATCTAATTATAATAATTATCTAATTATATTAATTATCTACTAATTAATAATTATCTGAGATAATGTAGCTTGTCTGTTGGATTCTAAACAAATGCATCGTCAGCCATGGTGGTGGCTAGCTTGCTTATTGCCGTAATTAAGGTTGGTAACTCGGGGGGCAAATATACCGACATCACCGCCTAATTTCAGCGCCAAATGTTTAGTACTGAAATGTATACACGCGAGGTATAAACAGTTCAAATATTAAGGGCATAAATATGGGTTGTTGCGACGCTACACGCGAAATATAAACAGTTAAATATAAAATATAATAAATATTAAGATCATAAATATGGGATGTTGCTACGCGCAGGTCGAGCTACTGCGCGTCCAAGCATGCGCTGCAGGGCTTCATGGACAGCCTGCGCCCCGAGCTTGCCTGCCACAACATCGCCGTGTCCGTCATCAGCCCAGCCTACATCAACACCAACCTCTCCATCAACGCCATCACTGCCACGGGGGGGACTTATGGAGGTAATGTTGTTATATAGGTACTTTAAATTAGCCTACATCAACACCAACCTCTCCATCAACGCCATCACCGCCACGGGGGGGACTTATGGAGGTGGGGT